TGTTTTGTAACTGGTTTCTAGTTTACTTTCTGCTGTCAAACTTTCAGTCTCTTATTCTGCTTAGAACTTTGTAGCTATATTTTCTGGTGCATCCTTTTCTGCTTCCTTAGAGGGGATTCCTGGGAATAGAATTCCTGGCACGAACTATCTGGTTTGTGTCAATGCCCCCACCTCACACTGCCAAGCTGCCTTCCAGGTTACCAGGCTCTGAGGGGGGTCACTTCTCCCCCCTTTCTTACCCCCCTGCTGGGCATTAGGTTTACAGAAGCTTGTCTCTGCCCTGTGGGGACTGTGGCCTCTTCCCAGGTAGGGTGACACTATTGGGTCCAGAGCAAGTCTCTCAATGCTCTCCCCTGGATTTCACCCCCTCCCTGGGCCCTTCTCTTGCCCCACTGTCCTGGCATCATTGGGTGTTCTGCTCAGCTGCCCTCTCATGTTGACTCCCATCGGGTCCTGCCTATATATATATATATATATATATATATATATATATATATATACACTTATGTTTATATATCCATTTGTCCAATGAGATGGATTCCAGCCCCCTCACCCCCCAGGGACTGATGTCCAACTCCCAGCTCCTCCCCACACCTATGGCTTCCTCCTCATCTCAGTCTGCTTCAGCGGTCAGCCAGCATCCGTAGACGCACACATCTACCAGGTCTCTGCCAGGCACTCAATGCCTTCTCCTATGAATACACAGCCTTGTTGGGGGTGGTAGGGGGGAGGCGAAAAGGGCAATTGCAAAGACAGATTGTGGTTAACTGGCTGAGCCCTGGGATCTGACCATCCATTCAGCTGACATTGCTCCCCAGGTGCCCAGCCAGGTGCTGTGAAAGGGGATTGAGATGGAGCAGCCCAGCGGAGGAGGGACCCCTTTGCCCAGGCCGCCTTCCCTGGACTGTGGGTTCTCTCTCCGCAGCTAGGCACCGGAGCACCTGCCCCTTGTCTCCTCTGCCTGCCCCCTCAAGCCTTTGTCACCAAAGTCATCCATTGATCCAGGCTTAAAATATCCCCTGGCATCTGCAGCAAGCCCCGTGGGGCGGGCAAAGGAGCCGTGTCTCTTCCTGAAGGGCACCCGCCCCACCCCCAGCTCCGAGTGCTGGCAGCTCAAGCGTGCGGGTGTCTGAGTGTGCACACGAATGTGAGCGAGAGTGTGCTTGTCTGGGGCTAGCTGTGGGCACATATGTACACGAGTGTGTCAGTGTGGATGCCCCTGGGCACACACACTCTTCCCTCACTGTTGAGCTCTCTCCTAGTGCCCAGCTCTGCTGTGCAAGGCTCAGGGTCCTGAGAGGTCGTGGACATTAGGGAAAGCTTGCGACCAGCCTCAGAGTCCCCACTTGAGATGGTGGGTGACAGTCTGCCCACCCCTGGGCCAGGGGATTTGGGATTTTCTAGAAACTCTAGACCCAGAGAGGGGAAATGATTTTCCATGACTGGCACACAGCCAGGAAGGACCAGGGCCTGGCCTGGAACCTGTACTGTGAGCCCCAAACCTACCTTCTGGCCAGTTCAGTACAGAAAGCAGCTGGAGGAGCCCAGCACGGAGCCCAGGGAAGTGTTCCTACACCCTGACAGCACACCAATGCCTGCCCAACTCCTGCCTTATGCCTGCCCGGCCCTGACTCCTACAGGAGCCTCCAGGACTTCCCACAGGCTGTTCCTGCTTCCTAGAATGCCTTTCCAGCCTCTCACACGGAGAGTTCCTACTTGTTCTTCATTTTGAAGCCAGACTAACATGGGATGGAATTCCCGCTCTAATAGGGCCATTCAACCTTTCTATGCCTCGGTTTTCTCATCTGCAAGATGGGCTGCAGGGACAAGCTGATGGGCCCCCCACGGAAAAACACCCAGGTACATGCAGCCTCGTGGGCAGCTCCCCGGCCCCCCCCCCCCCCCCCCCCCCCGTGCTGAGAAGATGGCGATGGCCCCTGCGGCGCCATCCACCAGCCTCGAAGGCCTCATTCCCAAGCCCATTTTGCTTCCGCCTCCTCCATGATGGAGGGTTACCCAAGAAGCAGAGACTCCAGGGGACTATGGACTCCCTGCTGGCGCAGATGCGACGTCAGGACCGGGAGGGGGTCTGGAGGGGAGGACCCACGGCTCCTTTGTCTCCCTGAGAGGCAGCTCGTGACTCAGGCTCCAGCTGCCTGTGGGAAGGAGGGGGCGCCCGGGCTCCTGAGGTCGCGAGGGAGAGGCGGAATGGGGGGAGGGGGGTGCTGGGAGTTGGGGCTCAGCCTCCTGGCCAATTCCCCACGCACCCTGTCCCCGGGCCTCCCCTCCCCTGCCTCGGGGACTCCCACTCCAGACGTCTCAGCTAATCCCTCTGCCCTATTTACCCCTAATAGTCTCCCCCTTCAGGACCCTCCAAAGGCCGTAGAGAACGTGCCTTCCGGAGCCGCCCGCTAGGTCCGCCGCGCGGGACAGACCCAGAGAGGACTGGGCTCGGCGGCGACCGACCAGCGCGTCCAGTCGGGACCGGCCCGCCTGCCCCACAAGCCCATCCGTTCCGGGGACACAACTCGGAGGTCAGCTCCAGCCCAGAGTCCCGGGAGAGGCTTCCTGCGCGCACCCCGACCTTGCCCCAGAGTCAGGGCCATGACCTGCGTCCGGGCCCCTCCTGGCTGGGGACGCGCATGCGGTCAGGGACCCGCCTGAGCGCGGAGACCCAGAGTTTGAAGAGTGCGCCGTGGGTCTTAGTCCCGCGGCTCACCGGCACCTCCCTTTTTCTTCGCCCCTCGGCCTTGAACCCATCTCTTCCACTTGCCTCCGGCCCCGCCTCTTTCCTGCAACCCTGAGGCTTGGGGCCCCTAGGCAGCTCCTTGACCCCGCCCGGCCGCGCCCCTAGCCCCGGCCCCACCCCCCGGCCCGCAGCCCCGCCTCCCGGCGCCCGTCGGCCGGCGGTCAAGGTGCCACCGGCGGGGCTGACCGCAGGAGCCGCGGAGACAGACTTTCGCCTGCCTCGGCGGGTCGCTGGCACTGTTCTGGATGCGGGCAGGACGGCCGGGCCTGGACCCCAGATTCTCTGCAGCTCAGGGAGTGAGGAGATGCTCAGAGGCCCTCTGGGCCCCGGGACCCCTGAAGAGTCCCATGGGCAGCGTCCCCTCGTTGCAGAATCCCGGGAAAGAGCACGGGCCAGGAACGCTACATCTGTGTGCCCCGGCTCCTCCCCGACACTCCGCGTGGCCCTGGGCAGTTGTTCCTACCCCCGCCTCCCGCCCCCACTCCCTGCCCCAAGTCAGGACCGGGCAGCCGGGGAGCGGCACAGACTGGAGAGTGGTCAGATTTCAGCTCTGGGAGAGGAAGAATTTTTCAGCAGGAGCCATCCACAACAGGGCAAATGAGAGTGACCTCCCACCCTGTGCCCAGGGGAGTGCCAGAGAGGTCTGGTGGCTTCTCAGAGGGGACAGGGAAGGGTGAGCACTGGGTGCCTGGAGGGTAGGTGCCCCTATGTGTCACGGGGCAGGCACAGGCACAGGGAAGGTAATGACAGCCTTGCCTGGCACTCAGAGGCCGTGGTGCCCAGCTCTCCAGCCCCTGCCCCTGCCTCCTGCTTCGTGATCGTCCTGCCCCTCTCCTCTGCACCTTTGTAGCCAGTTCCCTGGGCCAGGAGTGCCCTTTCTCTGCTCCATTCCAGCAGAAAACCGGGCAGGACTTGGGGCATACCTCCTGCTCTCCAAGTACTCCCTGGATGCTGGATTGGTCCCCCCAGCTGCTCGGGGCACTCCCCGGCCCTGGCAAGGATCACTCTGTCCTCTTATTGTGTCCCACTCTGTCTCTCTCACTGGACTGTGGCCAGCAGAGCCTGGCTCTGTCCAGCATGGCCCTGGCACAGAGCAGGCATGTCAAGGATCTGGGGTGACCGATGGGGCAGTAAATGGATGAGGGATAGAGGTGGTAACTGCTGAGACCGGAGCCTCAGACCAGCTCTGGGAAACTCACTTACAGGGGGAATACCTGAGGGCTGCGAGCTCTGGGCAGGGAGTGTCTGGGTCCCCAGGAAGGAAGGAGGTGGAGGCACTCCTGGGTGGAGACCCTAGTTGCCACATGACCTCTTCAATCTGGGACGGCTGGTTGCCCCTCAGGCTCCATTTTGAAGATGGGGAGACAGGCTCGGAGAGATGCCAGCAGTTTCTAAAGGCAAGGACTGTGTGGGGCCGTCCTTGCTGAGACAGAGGGAGGTAAGGGGTCAGGTCCTTCCTCCCTGGCCTCACCAGCTGGGCCTGCCCACCCCCACCCTGAACCTGGAGCCTGGGGCAGCGGGACAGGAAGTGAAAAGGGCCTGCAGGAAGCCCCAGGAGGAACTGAGACTTCAGCCAGCCCCGCCTCCACCTGCCAGGGCCCTGGGGACCTTGGGGAAACCAGACCCTCTTTTAGGAAAAACTGGCCAGAAACACAGGCCGGGGGAGGGGGAACTGCTTCCCCGAGTTCCTACCCCAAAAAGCAGTTGTTCCAGAGTCTAGCTGGGCTCCCTCTTATTGCAAAAAGAGACCAGATCGGGAGAGAAATCTCTGAGTAGTGATGAAGACAAGGAGGAAAGCCTGGAGACAACCCCTGGCGTTGGCCACTCCCAAGGAGGGCAGCTGGGTCAAAGACCTTCTGGACAGGCGCCCGGGGCAGGGGCAGGAGTCTGGATCTCTCCCAGATCCATCACTGCTTTTCGCATCTTGGGCCAGATCCCTTCCCTTCTCTGGGCCTCGTTCTTCCTATCTGCAAGATGGGCCATATAACCCCTGCTCGTGGAGGTGAACCGGGCCAGAGTTTCAGAAAAGTAATTTGACCAACAGGGACCTCAAAAAAGGTCAAGGCCTTTGGTTGCAATGACTCATCTTCTGGGAAACAGACTCAGGCAAAGATTTACGTACGTGGAGGCCCTACTGTCTCAGTCACAATAGTAAAAACCAAAAATAACCAAACCCTCAAGTGGAAAACTTTACAAATGCTGAAAACCTTGTATGTGAAGTATTTGAAAACAAGACAAAACTCACCAAAAATGATGGCCAAGATATGACTTTATATGTATAGTACGATTACAGCTACATAGAAGCCACCACTCAGGGGCCTGGCGTTGCTGGATTATGGGTCATTTCTGCATAGACTCCACCCTGGATTACTCTCCTGAACTTTCCAAAGTGTCTACAAAGCACACCTTGATTTTTTAAAATGAAAAATGCTTTTTTTAAAGCAAACACAAACGCTCATGTCTCTCTTCCAGGTGCCGCCATGAAGATCAAATGCAGTGACCTCAAGAAGGCTCCTTGGAAAGCAATGCGCAGGACAGAGGGCCAGAGACTGGAGGCCCCTGGCAGGTGAGGCCCTTTTCTGGACTAGGGGAGACTGACCCCCTCCTTGCCCACCTCTCCCCAGACCTCTGCTTCTGGTTCTTCCCCAAGGAACTTCCCTTCTGTTATTTGCTGGATGACAATGATGCCAAGTCTCTGCCCACTCTGGGCCTCAGTTTCCTCATCTGTAAAATGAGGGGAGTGAGGATTCTCTGAAGTTCCTTCCAGTCCTTCTCCTCTGAGGGCCACAGGCCAGGAGGAGAACGTTGCCTCCAACTCCTCGCTTTTCAGGAAAGGAAACTGAGACCAGAGGGGAAGCTGCACACCACCCAGGGGTTCAGCCAGGACCCAGTGGTGCCAGAGGTTTGCATGTCTGGGCCCCAGAGGGGTTTCACCCGCTTGTTTCACCTACGGGGCCCAGCCCCTGGCTATGGTGGAGAAGGTGGGGTGGGAGATAGAGGTGGCCGGGAATAGCTCAGACTCCTGCAATCCTGAGAGGGAGGGGAGTGGATGACTGGGCCTATTCTGGGCCTGCCACCTGACCTCACCCCAGCCACCTGGCAGCCTGGGGGGGAGGGGCATCTGAGATGGGCTCAGGGAGAGGGTGGCTAGGCAGAGACTTCGATGTGAGTGTCCAGGTTGTGGGGGCTCCAAAGCTGCTGGCTGCTGTCTTCTGAGCTGGGAAAGGGGTGGGGAGGAAGGGCAGGTATCTACTGGGCAGCTCTGACGGGTAGGTCAGAAAGCGTAGGCAGAAAGCATCTGATACATGGAACAGAACATGGCCAAGGCCTTACAATGGGACAAAAGGGGACCAGAACTCCATCTTCTGACTCCCAGTCCAGTGCTCCTTCCAAGGGCGCTAAGCCATGACAAGTTCCAAGGATACTGTCCAGGGCAGAGTCTGGGTCAGGAGGTTCCTGCCCTGTGTAGAAGGGCCAGCAGGAGAGGAAGCAGCTGACCAAGTGTACAGTGTGGTCCAGTGCTGAAAGAGAAGGTCTCCACTCCAGGCCCCCCAGCAAGGGGCACCGCTGTCACAGGAATAGTTTCACTTGGATGGTAGGTGACCCCAGGGCATGGTACAGAATGGCCAAGTGATCCCAGCACCCAGAGCCTAGTGCATGGGGAGGGCAGGCCACAGAGAGAAGAGAGCTCAAGGGACATCAGGTCCAGCTGGCTCAAGGCCACAGGCCTTCCCTGGCCTCTGTATGAAGGAGCCTCCTGCAGGTCCTGGGCCCTGCTCGGGGTACAGCTGAGTGTGCCTTGGAGGCCACTGGGACCCCAGTGGTCTCTGAGGGAGATGTCTGTCAGTGTGCCTTCAGCGTGAGCTTGCAGTCCAGCCCCAGAGGCTGTAGACTTCCTCCCAAGTGCAAGCCTTGGGCTCTGGAAGCTGCCTCCAGGGTGAAAATGGCATCATAGGTCCTAGCAGATTGGGCCAAGCTCAAGGTTGACCCTAGGGCACAGACACACGAGAATCAGCACAATCTAGGCTGTTTCTTAAAATCGTCTCGTACTAAATCCCAAAGCAAACCTGTCAGTTGGTTGCTCATTGCTGCCATTTGCATCAGTTTAAAAGCAGAACAGCGCAGAGAGCAAGTATTAAAGAAATGTGACACTCAGATACAAATTAAGCGTCCTACATCAGTTGATCCTTTTCCTAGACTCATTCTGGCTTAATGGTGGCTTCTCCAATCTAAAAGAAAAACCTGCTACTCAAAGTGCCACAACCGCTCAAAAACACAGGAGCTCAGCCACAACCTTCGAAGGCTGCCAAAAATGGTATGGTTTTAAGTCAAATGCCAGCATGCCATGCGATGCCATGTCACCTGAACACTGTGGTCTGTGGTGTCTGTCTGTGGTTCTGCAGGGTTAGCTGGAGAGCAGGCTGGCTCCCAGAAAATGGGCAGGTGGGCGCCGGTGTGAATAGCCCAATTCACAGGGAGGGCAAGGGCCACCTCCTGCCCCCTCTGTCGCTACTGTTGTTCAGGGCCAGCCGTCTTGGTGGTCACCAGCTCAGTGGAGCCCAGCTCTGTGGCTGGCACAGGGACGCTGTGGGCAGGTGGGGTGGCGTCTGGGTCTTCTCTGGGTGGAGGCCAGACAGGAGTTTTGACATCAAGGAGTCCAGGGGTGAGGACGATGACATTGTCCAGAGCCTCTGGGGGGTGGGGGGCATAAGGGGGAATGCAGGGTCAGGATTGGGTCACAGCCTTCCACTGTTCCTTGTTCTGGAAGCCTCTCTGGAGGGACAGCTCTCCCCACTGCAGGGTGGGGAGAAGTGGCACGTGATTGGCCCTCAGGACAGGAAGTGCTGTGAGGGCCGGCAAAATGGGGTGTGCTGACAGTAGGCCGAGGAAGTGTGGGAGCCAGCATGGCCATCCCAGAGAGGGCAGGACAGACCCCTCCTCAGACCCAGCTCCCCAACCTTGTGCCTCTTCCTGGGAGGGGTCTGGGAGGCCAGAGCCGTGGCCCTCACTTGGACTGGGTCTCGGGCAGGACTATGTCTCCCTGCTCCACCTAGGATCCTCAGAGGGCGCGCTTTCCCCCCCTCCGTCTGCGTCACCCCCTACAGCCCTGACTCTCCCTTCAGACCGCTCCCCCCCTCCCCTTTTCACACTGCCCCAACTCCCAAGGCAATGTCTCCTCTGCCTGCCCTACTCCTGCTTGCTGTGACTCTCTCAGGTCCCCTCAGACGCGGACTCACCGTCCTGGTCTCTGTCCGGGGCCTCGAGGGCAGCCGCCCCCCGGAGCCGCCGCCTCCGCCACCGCCAGCTCGCCAGGCCCACCAGGACCAGGGCCAGCGCCAGGCCCAGCCCCGCCGGGGCGCCGAAGAGCAGCGCCGGGAGCGGCAGCGTGGCCTCGGCCTCGGCAGCGCCGGCGCCCACCGACTCCTGCGGCTGCAGCGCCGTCCCGGGCGCCAGGCTGCTTCCCGCGGCTGCTGGAGGAGGGGACGGGGAAGGGGAGCAGGGGGCGGAGGGGAAGGACGGCCGGGGAGGGGCAGGGTCGGAGGGAGGCGAGGCTGGGCCAGGAGGGGAGGGACAGCCGGGCGGGGCGGACATGGGGAAGAGGAGAGAGGGGACGGTGAGGGCCACGCGGTGATGTCTGGTCCCCATCGGGCCCCTGCCCACAGCGCCCCATCGACCCATTGTCCCCTTCCCCCCGACCTGGGCCAGGTGGAGGCCGTGCCTGCGGCCCTGGCAGGGTGGGGGCCTCCGTGGCAGGACCCTCCTCCCCCCGCGCAGCGCTGCCCCGCAGTCCGGCCGTCAGAGCGGGTCGACTCTTACCCGATCCAGGTTCGGGTGTCCGGAGGAGATGGCAGGCCACGCATTTGCGGACCAGCGGGTCGAAGCACTGGGCCGGGGCGCACTGCGTGGGCGCCGTCCCGTCCCTGCCCCTCAGGCTCCTCGCCGGTCGCCTCATGCTGCTGATGGCGCGCACCCACCTGGGACTGAGTCTGGTCTCCCTGCCCCGGGGGAGGAAGCCGGGAGGGGTCACCGCCCCCTTGCCCCGCCCCGCCCTTCTGCCTGCTGGAGTGGGACCGCTCGCTGGGGTGGGACCACTTTCAGCCGGTGCCCAGGGCCCTGCACACCAGCCCTTCTCTTTCTACCTGTGATTCCTCCATTCAACCACTCAACCACCTCCCCAGACGCCCACTGGGCAGGCCCTCTGCTAGGCACTGGGACAAGTTTGGCGCTGAGCCCAGGGCTTGCTCTTGGGCAGCAGAGTATTGGCCCCTTTAGGGCACAGACCTCTGGGTGGCCTTCTCTGTCCTGCTCCCCAAGGTCAGCCCATAAGCACAGGTGATGGTGGTGGGGGAGATGATGGCTCACAGCAGCGATGTCAGTGCAGTCCATCGGCACAGAGCAGACAGCAAGGCTTTGTGGAGGAGACACGTGTTTGCAGATGGAGCGAGGTCTAGGGGACCCTGATAGGGGAGGGGCCCAGTGTGTGCAGAGGCCTTGAGGCCCAAATACGAAGGCCATGAAGTGCTGGGCCCAGAGAGCTGGGCCTGGGCCTTGACTGAGGTTAAGGAGCTTGGACTCTGGCCCAAAGGCACTGGGGAGCCACCAGGGCCTTAAGCAGGGAGTGTCAGAGTCAGGTCTGCGTGTTAGTGAGGAAGCTCTGGCTGGCGAGGAGGGCACAGATGGGGGAGGGGGAGGGCAGCTGAGGGTCCAGGGACAGCTCAGTATCCAGATCCTAAGCAGGAGGAGACTCAGATCAACAGATGGACAGACAGACCAAGGCCCAATAGTCACCCACCCCGACTCCTTCTTCCCAGGCCTGTGTGTGTCCTGGTCTGCTCACCTCTCTGTCTCACTGAGGCCCCTCCTGTCTCCACTGCCCAGCATTTGGGTTCCCCCACCTGTCTCTCACCTGTGTCTCTCAGATTGTCTCAGACACACACAAGGCCCCTCGGCCTTCCTTGACACCTGCTGTCCCCTCCCTGAAGGACATGGAGCCTCAGCACCGAGTGCCTCATGGTGGTCATGCCAGATCCCTAAGCATTCAGGGATGGGGGGCACAGCGGAAGGAGGAACTGTCCACGGGGCAGAGAGAGGCTTGGGGGCAGGAGTAGATTTTTAGCAGCTGTAAGGGGGAGGGAACCCTTCCAGGCAGGGCAAAGGCAGGGAGAGGTGACAGGGGAAGCTTTCTCTGGGGACAGACATGGCCCTGCCTAGGGATGCTGCAGAGGGAGGGAGCCTGGGGCTGCAGATAGGCCAGGCCAGGCCAGGCCTCGGGCCACAGGCCCGGGCAGCGAGGAGCCGCAAGAGGTGTTTGAGTTGGGGGCGAGATCCTGAGTTGCGCTTTAGATGGCCCCTCTCTCTGGCTGCTGTGGAATTGGAGACCGGGCAGGGTGAGCAGAGCAGCGAGGAGGCTGCTCCATGGTCCGGGGCAGGGAAACCATCTGGCAGTCCTTTTGGAGGAAAGGGTGATGCTGTGGAGAGAAGGGAGCAAGGCTGGTCCCCGGGTTTCTGACTCGGGGGAGCTTGAGGGCTCTCACAGAGTCTCACAGGCCTTGAGGAGCCCTGGGCCACTGCCTCTCCATCTTCTGCCCATGGGCCAACAACTCCGTGGCAGGAAGGTGTAGGCGGTGGGGCAGCTGCAAAGGAGAAGTGGGTGTGGGGTGGTGGGTGTGGGTGTGAGGGTGGGTGTGTGGTGAGGGGGTGGGGAGCCAGGAGCCTGGAGAGGAGCCAGGGCAGGGAAGGACCTCCTATGGGGTGGAGGGTGGAGTAAGGCTGGAAGACGGGGCTCCAGTCCCCACCCTATCACTATTGGTGCTGTTGTTACCTGCTCCCCTCACGACCGCAGAGCTCTTACTACCCATCTGGCGTCTCATCTAACCCTCACGCTAGACATTCACGCTGAGGCTCGTGGGACCCAGGAGCCGGGAGAAGGTGGGCCAGTGGGGCCAGGTTTGGAGTCACTTCCATGAGCCAGCTCTGCCTGGGCTGCACCGGGCCTGTCTCACTGTGGCTGCCCTGACTCCTCTGGCAGGGAGTGGAGGAGGTGGCCCTCAGGGCCCCGAGCCCCGGGGGGGAGAGTTGTAGCTCTGCCAGTCCTGCACCTTGGTGCAGGCTGCCTTGAGGGAGGAGCAGAGTCACGTGCTTGACAGGAGCTCACTGGCTGCCGCGATGTGCCTGCACTGGGAAGGTGCGGAGGACAGAGCAGGCCACAGCGAAAGGCCTGTGGGATTTGTGTCGGTGGTGTGTGCAGGTGCCTGACCCCAGACAAACATTTTCACTTGTGCCTCCTAAACGGGGAAGGTCTCAAATCTCTGCTTGGACGACTTAGCAGTTAAGAAATTTCACCATCAGACCAATGTGGTCAGGGTTAGGTTATTCCTCAATGCATTCTTTTTTTAAAAAAATAGTTCAAGTTCATTAATTTCTTAATTCGTCTTCTACATCACTTTTTGACTATGACAAGAGAGAGGAGTTAAAGTTTCTAAAATCAATGTGATTCTTGCAAATTTTCCTTCTTTTAATAGTTTTACTTTAAATAATTTGATATCATCACCTTAATGTATTCTTGAATAGAAAATAAGGGACTTTGTTGCTGAAAACCCTTCTAATTGAATCTGTCTCTTAGTGTTCTCAAGTTTTCATTCACTGATGAATTTTTTAAAAAAGATGATTAGGGGGCTGGCCCTACGGCTGAATGGTTAAAGTTCCATGCGCTCTGCTTAGGGGGCCCGGGTTCACAGGCTTGGATCCTGGGTGCCGGCGGACTCCACTTACCTGCCATGCTGTGGAGGTGTCCCACATACAATGTAAAGGAAGACTGGCACAGATGTTAGCTCAGCGCTAATCTTCCTCAAGCAAAAAAAGAGGAGGATTGGCAACAGATGTTAGCTAAGGGTGAATCTTCCTCACACACACAAAAAGAGATTAATTTGGGGTCTGTCAGGGAAAAGGGAGTCTCCCTTGATCTTTGTTCCCCAAATCCCCCCAAAACACCCTCACAACAGTTCTGAAACAGATACTATTATGATGTCTGTTTTTCAGATGGAGAAACGGGCTCTGAGGGGCAAAGCGAGGACCCAGCACACACAAGGGGCCTGGACAGGGTCTGTGGAGCGTGGCTGTGCCCTTCATGCCTCAGGGACAGGGTGGGGAAGTGAGGAAACTCTGGGCCTGCTGGATAAGCTCAGGGTCATGCGGGGCAGTCCCTGGGGCAGAGAGGCCTAGCCCCCCAGATCTGGATGTGAAAGTGCTCTGAGACCCGGGATGCACTCTGTACTTAAAAATTAGCTTTATTTCTAATTCTGTGAGTAATACCCAAAGACATTCTCATGAAAAAAACCCTCAAACAATACAGAAGTCTATGAGTAAGAAGGGGCATTTCCCTGCCATCCCCAGAGGGAGCCTGTTCTTTCTTTGGAGTCTTCCATTCTGAGACAGGAACCAGCCTAACGAGATAGAGTGTCATCGGCTGCAGAAGCGCAAGGCCCCTGGCCTAACAGGATGGGGCCACCAACCAATCGGCAAGCTAGGAGAATCAGATAGAAACCGCCAAGATCCACATTCCCAGCCTGGGGACTTTCCTGGAGGCTAGTGGCTAGTGCACCCTAGCACCCAGGAGTTGGCTGAAAGTGACCTTTTGCCTCATTACCATAGTAAAAGTCACACTCGGGTGAAAAGCTAGCGTGCTAATGATACATGTGACGCATGAAGTGGCATGCTGTGTGACAGCACAGGCACAAGCACCACCCCACCTCTACGTGCCGTGATGGAAGACACACTGACTGCCCCAGCCTGATAAACCCCCGCAGTATGGCTATTCAGGGAGCCACTCGCTTCTCTCTCTCCTCCTTCTTCGCTTTTTGTGATTGGCTCCCTTGTGCACAAGCTGATACATTTTCTATCATCTCACTCTTGCTTCTTGTCTCTCTTGATTTCTATCCTGGGGGACGACAAGAACCCAGGGCGCCAGTAACAATTCCAGTCTTGTTTTGTGCTTTAAATTCTCGTGTATGTGCATGTGGAAACCAGGCTTTGTGTTTCTTAAAGGGGCTCCCGGTGTGAACTGTTCTGTTGGTCTTCCTCATCCCCCTTGGCCAGCCGGGCGGGGCCGAGGGCTTCAAGTGTGCTTCCCATTGGCTCTCCCCCGTCTTACTTTGTCACAGAGCCCACATCCCCAGAGTAGATTCTTTTTGCCTTTCTTGTGTATTCAGCTCTGACAAACAGGACACTGCTAGAGAGTCCCCCTCACCGGGGACAGTGGGAAGGATGTGATGCTTGGCCTCTGGACACTGGCAGAGGGGCAGGAGAGGCAGGTGAATCAGTACGAAGTCCTGGGGAGGCCAGAGAGCCCCTGGCCTCTCTCCCCTTGAACCCAAACTGTGCAAGGGCAGGTCATGCCCTTCCACGAAACAGCTACAAAACCCATGCCTGAGTTTTCACAGGCCCAAGCTGCCTATCCTCAAACCCCCATCCTCCGCGCCCCCCCCCCCCCCAACACACGGGTTCACGCACTTGCACACACATAACCCAGCACTCCAGGGGTGCCCGGCCAGGGCTGCCCCAGCACTTCTCTCTTCTGGGAAGGGGGATGGGACCCTCTATGTGAGGTCAGAAAGAAGACCCCAGCCCCTTAACATCTCAGCCACAGGGAGTGGAAGTCCCACATGGGGTCCAGGCCTGCAGGTGTGGAAGGTGGAAGGATGTGAGGCCTGGGTGGGGAGGGAAGAGCAGGGAGCCTCCCCAGGGACCGGCCCTCCTTCAGGCCTCACTCAGAGCACCACCCAGGAGGGACAAGGAGCCAGCCAGCTCTAAGCCTCCTGCAGGCTTTTGGCTGTGTGTGCAGGCACAGGCCGACTCCATGTGCATTCACCAAATACTTACTGAGACCTACTATGCGCCAGGCACTGTTCTAGGTTCTGAGGAGACAGAGGAACCATATGGTAGGTGGGGAGGTGAGAAGTGCTGGGGAGGAAAATTTGGGAGAGAAGGGTGGCAAGGAATGCCAGAGTCAGGGAGGGCCTGGTGAGACCTTGGAGGTGAGAGTGATCCCTGAGGACCTATTGGGAGGAGCAAATGTGGCCCAGGGAACTGCACAGCACCAGGAAAACAGCAGCACGCAGTACCGACCCTCGCCACCTGTAGGGCCCTGTGCCCCGCATGTGCCTGCACCCCTTGCCTCAACCCTGTCGGGGAGGAGGCATGGTGATTCCCCCTTTACAAAGAGGAAAGCTCAGAAGGATAAGGGACAAGCCAGGCAGCCCTGCGGGCCCTGAGCTCTCCCACCACTGCTCCCAGGATACCCACATCTGTGGGGTCCTCTCCCTGTCAGCAGGAGGTGGTGGGGGGGGGGGGGGGGGGTTAGGCCCAGCCCTTGAGGAGCCAGTGGCCGAGCATAGTAGAGGAGGACCAAGTGCTGGACGACCCCCTGGGCCTGGCCTTGCAGGGCCATTATGCAGTCAGACCAGGCATCTACCAAATGTCAGCTCCCAGGGTCCCCCAAATGCCTCTGGGCCCCAAGGAAGGCTGCCTCCTGTCCAGGTCAGGGGCACAGGGGACTGACTGCCCACCCCATCGCCCTCTCAGAGCTGGTCCTCAGTAGCCCCCAGTCCATAGGATCACACTCAGGTGGGACTCACAGATTTGGGGGGTGCAGGGCCTGGCAGGCCATCACACTGTCTCCCTCGGTCCCTCCTCCTCTGCCCCTTGGGTCTCCAAGTGTCTGTGAGAAGTCCTTTCACAATGATTCTCCCTTAGGGCCCCAGGGGAGACTGTAGGGAGGGGGTTAAGCCAGCAGGTGCCTTATGGAAAGGGTCCCTTTGTGCTGGGGTCCTGTCAGAGAGGCAGGCCCAGCACCAGGTGTGTATGGGGAGGGGCAGAACTTTATCTCAAGAACTCCCCACCGCCACCCCCGCCCACCACACCCTGAGCACAACCGGTCAATGAATGCTCTGGGCCACTGTCTGGGGACGGCACATATGGAGCAGGCATGGCATCAGGCTCTTTGGTTTCCCTGAGCCTCACAAGAACCCCAGGAGGCCATGGGGCTCAGGGACGGGAAGAGCTGCCCCAGGTCACACTGTATGTTGGCCACAGACCCCAAGTCAGTGGGACTCAAAGGTCGGGTCCTTTCCCACTGCATCACTTCCCCTCTGTGGCCAGGCTGCCCCGTCTCAGCCCAGCCCCAGGCTGCCCCTGCCTCTGCTTGCTGAGGGGTGAAGGAGATGCAGGTGCCCTGCTGCAGAGCCCCTTCTCACCAGGGAGGCCCTGCCTCCTTGGCAGGGGTGGGAAATACCATCAGGTTGGGGCCAGAACCCTTGGGCCTGGGTGCCTCCTACAGAGAACGTGAGCTCCCTGGGGTGGGCCCAAGGGCTGCTCACATCCAGATGGCCTGAGGGGACAAAAGAAGCTGTGACTCTGAACAAGCCCTGCCCCTCTAAGAGCCTCGGATGCCTCATCCATATGGGCACCCCCCCCACCCCATTCCCCAGTGCTCTCAGAGAGCATGAATCTGCAGCTTCCAGGTCCAGCTGGAGGGCAGCTCCTCCAGAGGCCTCAGGCCACCCAGCCCCTCAGACCTGCCCCCCCCCCCCCACCAAGTTACTGCCTCCGATGTGACTACCCTGTG